GGGAGGGCTGGGGAGGTTTGGGGAAGGGTTGTTTTGTTTTTGTAAAATTTAAAAAAAAATTTCAATAAAAATGTATTTATTAAAAAAAAAAAAAAGCTAAGATAGGAGCAGACCTGCTTAGTTCTTGATAGTAGCCTATCAGGACATTTCAAGTAAAATAGGAAATAAAAAACATCCCAAAAGTAAGCAATGTAAAAATACTTCCATATTGCTCTATCAAAACTATACAGACTTATTCAGGTATTACTATGAATTGGACTTGATTTGATAGAATCTGTACTTTTATCATGTTAGTACAGTACTGTATTCACCTTTTAATGTTTTACTGTTCATCTTATTTCTGTAACTTCCTTAATAACAGGATTTGATTTTTTTTTTTTGCACCTTGCTTGAATAATTTTGCATTCTTTATTCCAGATGGTGAAGCTGAGGGTGCTGAGTTTTATACTTTGGTTGCTCAGAAACTAGATTACTTGGTGAAACACCAACAACGGGTCAGCCCTACAGCTGCAAAAAGCTCAGTTTCTCCCAAAGATCCAAAGATTACAATTCCCACAGACACAATCTCTGGCAATTCAGGTACTGCATTTTTTTTTCTTGTGTGTTGAAGCTGCCTCATCCAAAAACTCTGGGTTTATAAACAATGATAACACAGAAATCCCTTCTTGATCTCTGAATCAGGTATCTCAGCTTTTTCTGTACTGTATTGTCACCTTCCTGTTTTGATGAGACTTTAATTTTCAAAAATTCCAGCCACCTTTTGGCCAACACATATGGAAGGTACCAGATTAGAGGAAGTACATGTTGGATCATATGGAAGGAAGGATGACTCTAAATTTAAAACAATCTCTCCACCTGAAAAATGAAGCTTAGATGAAACAATTTATCTCCTTTTATAACAATCTTACAAATTTAAACAGATTCCTCTATTTTAAATTAAACTATTAATTTAATTTAATTCAATTTATCTAAATGATTTGGGGGGGAATAGTCTTCCTTTCAGGAATAGGTAGCCACAGGAGGATAGGGATCAAACGATGACAAGAACATTTTGGTATTATCACAAAATGATATGAATAAAATATTTCCATCATATCTTATGATGCATCTGACATTATAAAATTGTACTAGTATTTGTGGAATGATTTTACAACATACATGCCATCACTTTAACATCTATGTGGCTTAAAACTGACGACTGTTCTTTCAGGGAAATATTGTTTATATTTTGGAATCAAAATAATACATTTTTCTCAGTTGCCTTGGAAAAAGGGCCAGAACAATTGGATGAGAAACAGAAAGAACAAATTCTTCAGAAGTTGGTTACCCTTCTAGAAGAGCAGGCTGCTGTCTTCAATAAAAAGGTATATATGCAACAAAGAATTACCGCATAAAGTACTAACATTCAAACTGCAGAACCAGTACTGAGTATTTTGTGGCTGCTGTGTGGAATTAGCCCTATGCCAAAGATATTCCTCCAGGTTTTTTTTTTCTGAATATGTTTTGTAAATCTTAGATTTTTTCCAAGTCTTCAAATAAGCCTTGTTGTCTATGATATTTCTGTTTTGACTGCATTTATTTTTATTATTTATTTATAAAATGTATAGCCTAACCGTCTTATCTCAAAATAACTGGGCAGATTTTTGGAGTAAAGGTTCCTCAGATTTTGTGTTAACAAGTGTATACAAAGTTAACAAGTGTATACAGACTTGCACAGCTGAATCTCCCCACTTGCCTTTCTGTTTTGTGATCTATTGAACTTACTTTTAATTAGGTATGTGGAGTATTGCAGCTTAGGGCATTTCTTTTGGTAATATTTAGGCATTAGTTTCTTTTGGGGCTGTGTCTAAGGAGATTCTCAGTCATCCAGGTCATAGTTATCCCAAAGATGCTTTTTCACAAGGCAGCTGGACTTTCTTGTTTTTCTTTGAAGATGTTTCACTTCTCATCCAAGAAGCTTCTTCAGCTCTGACTGGATGGTGGGAAATGGAAAGATTTATACTCTTGAAGTTCATTTGCATTCTTTTAGCCAGTTGTTAAAGCCACCTGGAGGCTTATCTGTGTCTTCAGGGTCATCTGAGTAGTGCAAATGGATGTGGAGCCTTCTTGTTCATTGTATAATTAGTAAACTTAAATAGATTATGTTTAATATGTTTGCATAATCCTGTATTTTGCTCTGGGAAGTCGGGGGGGGGGGACGGGGTGGATGGGTTGAAGTTTAAGTAGTTCAGATAAAGTAGAAATAGTCTTATTGTATATAATATTAATGTTTTAATTTTGAGAGAGGAACTGCTCCGGCATTTCTCCTGGACCGCATCGAGAGGAGAAGAAGGTGAGAAGTAAGTAGGAAGGTTGAGGTGAAGGAGGAGAGGGGGTGAGTGAAGAAAAAGAGGGAAAGAAGTAAGTTGGTTTGAGGTGGGATGCGGTTTGGAGGGAAATAGGCGGGCAAGACCGAATGTGGTGTGTATCAATTTGTTTTATTTTTTATCTGAAGTATTTGTAAGATTGTTATGTATTGTAAAGTTGAAAATAAAATTTTTTACAAAAAAAAAAGTTCTTTATCGGGGGCACAGTGAATCATTTCTAATTGCAGTTGTCTCTTAAAAAGGTTCCTCTAATATTTGAACTCTTGACATTCATCTCATTTTCTTTCATTGGCAGATTGAAGCTGACCCACTGCTACGTAACACTATTTCCCGCCTCTCCTACCGCAGCTTTACTCACCTGGCTGAAGCCTTCACATCACGTACCCCACCTGGGGTTTCTAGCCCTCAGCTAGCCAAGCTAGCCCTTACTATGGAACTCACAAGGAAAGTGGCTGGCATTAACAGCCACGCAGTACATACCCTCATGGGCTATAGTTTGCAATATATGGATATGTTCATACCTTGGTTGCAGCAGCAAGGTGGCTGGGTATGTGGAGAAACATGTGTTTCCCTGAGTTTTACTTGCTAGGCCAGATTACATTTAAAAGGGGAGCCCAAAAATGAAAAAGAAAAAAATACTGATATTTTGCTCAAAATATAATTAAGATACTTGAGGTTCTAGTTAAATACTTTGGGAAAAACAGTCATCTGTTCTGCAAGTTGTCTGCTTTTGAGGGTTACAAAATTGGAATAAAACACTTATTTAGCTGAAGAATTATACATTGTCTAAAAGCTGCAACTAAAAGCTCATAGAGTACCATAAGAGCATCTTAGTTCTATGCTAGAAGAGAACCTGTATTACATGTATAGTACTTGTGTTCTCTATCCCTGTATTATCAAGTACAATTGTGTTGCTGGATAGCAGCTGACAATTATTTTTTCCTACAAAAAAGGAGAAAAGTTTCATTATTATATTTATATAATTATAAAGGGATATTTTCTTGTGGCTGAGGGACTACATTTTAATATTAAGGGAATAACAGTGATGTAATTACATCACTGCAAATATACTGGGCCATTTTTTTGTCTTCTAAAGCCAGAGGGTCTCCCATACTATATGTCACAATTCTGTCTGTTGTCAGAGTTGGAGCAAGACACAATAGAAAAGGGAGGGAGGGAAGAAAGCAAGCAAGCAAGCAGGGCTTAATGGTGGCATGGAAATGGCTATTCTTTATAATAACATGTTTTTTTTTCTTTATAGGAGAACATTGTAGCCCAGGAGGAGATATTTGACTTGCAACTTGACTAAACAAACCCTTGTGCACCAGTGGCAATGCTCTTATGATGAATCATGTTTGCAGAAGACTGAATGCTGGGTTGAACTGCTAGCACTTAAAGGCCTTTGTGACTTTCCACCTAGGCTAAATCTAAAGGGACTTTTTTTTTAGTAGCCATGACTGGAGCTAATTAAGAATTAGCAGAAATCAACTCTAATCTTCGGTGCTCGGAGTGAATTGCAAAATTTGATCACAGTATGCCAAATTGTTTTGTCAAGTGTTCCTGAAGAAGTATGAAGTAGTTACTTCCTCTAAAACCTGCCAGTTGTCAAAAATATTTCTGAAAGGGCGTTCTTCAGATACCTGCCATCAAAGGCAAGAAAAGTCATGCCCTTGGTGAGAACCCCTGTTCTTCAAGCCCTGAGCAACACTTGATTTTTTTTTCTTTTCACCCAAGATGAACTTTTCTTTCCTCCGATTTTACACTTGAGATTAAATAAATACTCAAATCTTATTTTATTCCTATTTTCCGATGGATAGATGAAATTTTCAGATGTGATATTGTCAATATTTATTGTCTTTGCTTTTGTTCTGAATTTTTTGTTCTGAATTGCTCTGAGAAATGTTGGTTTTGAACAATAATTTCTGACTTGCAGAAAATTAATTTCAGTGGAACTATGATTTATGTTAATATGGGGAGAAAACAAACTTAATATCAAACTCAGGGATATGGGAGTATGTTTGTTTAACAGCAATGACTTCCCTGAAGCACTGTGATTTTTTTAAAATAAAAATTTAAAGATTCTTTTATTTTGGTGTCAAATACTTTTCCTAGCATCTGTTACTTTTCTTTGGGCAAGCCTATTCTTTTGATTTGATGATACATAACCAATTCTCCTTTGGCTGTACTAATGTTCAACTGAAGTCTGGAAGTCCAAGCATAGCCTTAGTGCACCATATTGCAGAAGAAAAGTTAAACTGATGTTATCTAGTGATTTAAAACTCGGGAGATCTTCGAATATAAATGTACATTTATTCAGAACAAAGTGATATGTTCTCCTGAAAGACACCTGAATGATTCCCCCGAAATTCACCTTTCGGTGTATGATTGCCGCTTGCTCCGTTCCTCAACTGATCCGAGACGAGATAAGCAATTCCATTTTTTCATTTTTTTTTCTTCTTCGGTACAAGCAGATCATAAGGCGCTTAGAACAACGTCATTGCTGGGGGCCCCAAGGACGAGCAGGAGGCGCGTTGAACGCAATCGTGCCTGTAAAGGACCAATAAAAGCGTTCAAGGTGCTTCCATAGAGAGGCGATCTAGGGCGGTCGAAAAGCCGCCCGGGAAGACCAAAGTGATCATAGAAGCTCGACTGCAAATTCATCAAGGCACTTCCTGTTTCCGTCTTTTGCTGCCAGGCCTCCCGTGACTTGGAGAAGGCGGAGCGGGCTGGAGCTTAGAAACGGCGCGAGAGGAGGGTTGCAGGAATAGCAGCATGGCAACGGCCGCGGTGAGCAACAGCCTCATTTTCATTCTAGGAAGAGACTCGACTAACCCTCTTTCCCTACCCGAATACACTCCGGGTCTGTGGTCGTCATTGAGCTTCTGATGGACCGAGGCCAGAGTAGCCCCCGTGGGATGCATTAATGTTCCTCCTCATTTGCTCCCTTCTAGAAAACACTAGGCTTCTCCTGCCGGCTCTGATTAAGATGCATTGGATTACAGCTCCCATCATTCACTGCCAGTACACGTGAAGCAGTTGAGCTCGTTGGGAAGACAGCACTTTGGGGACTGGGATACATTTCCATATCGTGTGAATTGCATTTATGTATAACTTTCCTCCTAGAAGTTTACCTAGCTCTGTTTCACCACTTGCTAGTTTGCCCTTTAACTTCGCAAACTAGGCTGGGATTTCTGAAACAATACAACAAGCTTTTTAACGGTGCGCTGACTTCTGTTAATCTGATTTCATTTTGAGTTCACAAAATGTTAACCAAGTTTTGAGACTTAGCAATAGTCTTTGCACAATATGTATAGCTTGACTAAGGTTATCCTTATGAATTTCTGCAAGAGTTTAACAATGGTTTAATGTATAGATTCTGAAGAGGCATTAATTCAGTTACTTGTTTAAGCATGTTGTGTGAATGTAACCTATTGGCTTTTAGGATGGACCACAACTCCCAGAATTCCCTGGTCTGCATACTGGCTGGGGAATTCTGAAAATCCACTCATCTTAAAGTCGTCAAGGTTAAGAAATACTGTTCTAGACTATATATCTACTGCACATTCTCACAACTTCCCTCTTATCCCCTTTCCTGAGTCAGTTATACCACTGCTGCTAGGAGAGAGTTGAGACAGAGTTAATTTGTCTCCCAATGATTCTGATTAGGATTTCTACTTCTCTGTTATCAGAATGGGAAAGTATCCCCCAGCAACATCCAAAACAGTTGTTCAGTAGACATCTGAGAATTCTTTTTGCTCCACCAATTATGGGTCCTGTTAAACAACTGATACACGGTCTGACAATTTTGGGGGAGAAATTGGAATGCTATATAGTATATTGTCAGTTTGATATAATGGTTAAGGCACAGGGCTAGAAATTGGAGGACTATAAGTTCTAGTCTTGCCTTATGTGCAAAATCAGCTAGGTGTTCTTGGCCAGTAACTCTCTTTCAGCCCTAGGAAGCAGGTAATGGCAAATCCACTTTTGTAATCTTGTCAAGAAAACTTGCAGGGACTTGTCTAGGCACTTGCCAGGAGTCAAAAAGTGACTTGGGGGAAAAAATGTCATGTACCTTGCTAAATCACATTTTGAACTATTTAGGAGTAAGGAGTATTAATCTAGATTATCTCTGATACTAAACCACCATGATAATCTAAGCACATTGTTGTTTGCTCTAGCTGTCATGTTTACAAAGTCTTCAGCTTGTGTCCTTTCATTCAGTGATCATTTAAGCTTAAAAATGGATGTAGATCAGTCCTCAAAGTTCTGGCCATTGAAGTACCCCTGTGGTCACGTGATCACAGTCCAGGCACCTGTGTGCTCAGCTTGTGGCAGGAACATGCAGGGATCTGGAGTCATTGATCACAGTTTTCTATCTTCCCTTTGGGCTTCCCACAAGTAAAGTCAGCGGGGAAGGTCAGAAATCATTTCTCACTTTTTCTCCCTCTCACAGCACTTTCCTGTCCTTGTATAGCCTCTCCCAGCCCTCCCTTGGCCTCCTACAACTCAAGCAGAACCTGAGGTGGGCCTCCCCTGCCTTCTGTGACTTGTGTGCAGCCTGTGCTAGCCCTCCCTAGCCTCCCCACTCACACTCCTTACCTGGAACTCATACCTCTTTCCGCTGAGTGATTTGTGTATCTTGGGGTTAGGTGGTATCACCGAGCAATGTAATCACATGATGTCACACTTACAACCACATTGCTTAGCAACACCAATTCCAGTCCCAATTGCCATCATAACCCAATGACTACTTATATGTGCATTCACTCAAATACAACATTTATACAAATGTATGCTATCATTCGTATAGCTACTGTACTGTATTCAATTTTCCAGTCTGACCTCATTCACAGGACAATACTGTTTTCAACTGGTCTTATCTATCTTTGCCCATCTTTCTTTTTCCTCTTTTCTTTCCATGTTCCCATTCCATTTTATTTTGTTCCATCCATTTTGTTTCATTCCATATATATTGATTTTTTTTTATCAAGTGGTTGATTAAGAGTCATGTCTATATATATGTTAGGCACAAACAACCACATCCAGACATGTATACTTTAAGCTAACTAATTATATAATATTCTGTATTTGGAGTGATGTGAGATGATAAGAGAGTTCACATTTGGAATTTCAATACTGTAGCTCATTTTGTGGTTTGGATGCTACAGAGTTAACAATATACATTACTTTATATGAGATGTTTCCAAATGAGATATCTGTTTGGAAAGAAATATAGAAAGCGATCTGTTCTATGTCTATTTAGCTGAAAAATTCAGACCAAAATGTGTTACTTATTTGAGATTTAGGACAGAAAATTTTTGATATATGAACATCATCTTCTCTCTTTTCTCAGGCTACGAAAGTTCCTGAAATTCGCGATGTTACCAGGATTGAACGTATTGGTATGTTTTCATTGCTGCCTCTTCCTAGGATGATTTCCAATTTTACCCCTATGGGTAGTTTATTATTAAATCAATAATTATGGGACAAATCTAATAAATCAATGTGCTGCTGTCTATATCGAAATGGCTGCCAAATCAAAAGCTACTGTAGAGTTAGATGACTTTGTAATTTTGATTCTCATGGTATACAGCAGGGCAGTTAATGCTGAGTTTCAGGACAGATTCTTTTATTTTGACTTCCAAATAAAATGGATAAAACATTATCTCCTTAATTTTGACTGAGGAAAATTAAACATTTTAAATAGATCTTTAAATAGGCTTAATCTACTATCTGCAGAAATCACCTTCCTCCAAATTATCTTCCCAAACTGTCTCCACCTACCTACTTGTGGTTGCCTCATTAACTTTGCAACTGTGGAAATTGCCTTCCCCCCAAAAAAAAATTAAGTAAAGCCTCCAATCAGAAAACTGTCTGCTTCCAGTGTAAAATGTCACCAACCTCTTTTCAAATAATCTTTCATGTTCACAGGAGCCCATTCCCACATTCGAGGACTTGGCTTGGATGATACCTTGGAACCTAGACAGGTACTTGAAAAAGTAATTTCCAGAAAGTTTTTGGATTGATTGAAGTTGGGAGAAGAAGCAGTTTGTTCAAATGAGAGAGTAGAAGAATTGGTGCAATAATTGAGGAGAGAAGTTTAGTGTTTAAATTTAAACAGAGAGAGAACAAAAATTATTAGTCAAATTATTCAGTTAATTGGCTTCACCTATGCGGATGTGTTTTTCAGATAAATGAATTTTATTATAAATAAATTCTCTTTTAAAGATAAAAATATGTGAAACATATATAACTGCTTATTCAGTTAAGAAAAAAGTTGGTAAGTTCTTCAGACCATTGTATTATAGATATCCCATGATTGTTTGGGGGGTGGAGGCAAACTTGGTGTCATAACTTCGAATTTGAATTGTAAGTATCTTTTAGAGGACCTGTCATAACTTCAAATGATCACTAAGTGACTGATCATAAGTCCAAAACTACCAATATTATGATCTGTGTGTGTGGAGTTTTACACACACACACACACATACACACACGGGAGTGAGTTTTTTTGTTATCAAGATAAAGATTGGTCAACTTTGGATTAGTTTTTCTCTGGTCATTTTTATTTACAAGTACAATGTAAGTAACTCACTACTATTTATTACTTTAATGTTTTCCATGAAATTATTCATCTTATCTCTTAACTGTCATAGAAAATAAACAGGATAGATAAAGTTCTTGATTGTAATTTTGCAGTTTACAATACAATCAATATAGGCCTAAATCTGTAACCCATTACATGCAGCATTTGAATAATGTTAAATTATGTATTTTAGGAGAAATTAACAGGTTAAGTGTTAGAGTTTGGGAATGCAAATGTGAGAAATACGCTTTGTGAGGATTGAAATAAAGGAAAAATATCATCTCCCATGTGTCCATTTTTCTCCTCCCCCCCACTTCCTGTTAGGTATCCCAGGGCATGGTAGGACAGTTGGCTGCTCGTCGAGCTGCTGGAGTGATTTTGGAGATGATAAAGGAAGGCAAAATTGCTGGTCGAGCTGTCTTGATTGCTGGCCAGCCAGGCACAGGAAAAACAGCCATTGCCATGGGTAAGGGCAGATTGCTAGAAACCAGCAATGAGTTTCTGATATCTTGAAAGATGATGGGTCTATCAATATGAAAGTTCCTCATTCTGAATTTCTTTTCTTGAATAATTCTGGCTCCATTCTCATTATGTAGTAACTGTACTGTTGTCTCTCTTCTAGGCATGGCCCAGGCACTGGGTCTTGACACTCCTTTTACAGCAATTTCTGGAAGTGAAATTTTCTCTTTGGAGATGAGCAAAACTGAGGCACTAACTCAGGCCTTTCGCCGTTCCATTGGTGTTCGCATCAAGTAAGAAGTTGCCACAAATTTGTATTCTCTGAGAGCGGATTAGGGTCAAGGGCTCCAACAGAAAGGACATTTCTTAAGAGCAGAGAGCTAAACAACATGAGGAAATCAACAGCCAGGTTTCTTACTATGAGGGCAATTCAGAAATAAACCTCCATTTGGTTATCAATGACAGACACTCACAGATACAGAACTTTTATTATATACATTAGAAAATTACATTTCATTACTTTTCAACATAATCGCCATTCAAATTGAGGCACTTGTCATAACGACTTAACAAGGTTTGAAATCCCTTAGTAGTTGCTCGGCGCGAAGTCTGCACTATGGGAGTGTGGATCAAAAACATCTCAATGGAACTACTTCAAAAGTTCTTTCGGTGCGTCTAGCGGTGTGCGGGCAAGCAATATCGTGAACCAACACCACACTGGAAGTGGTGCCATAGAAAATCCCGCCAAATGTGAAGATGCCAAAGGAGCAACGCTAGGGAAGTTCATGGAGTGTGGTTCGACCATCAGTTCTATGAAACGTTACGAAAACTCAGACGAGCCATCCATAACAAGTATCAGGGCATGCTGACTTCTGGTGTGGTGTTAGTTCACGATAATGCTTGCTGACACACCGCTAGATGCACCCAAGAACTTTTGAAGCAGTTCTGTTGGGATGTTTTTAATCAACCCCCCCCCCCCAATAGCCCAGATTTGGCACCGAGCAACTACTACTAAGGCATTTCAAACCTTGTAAGACGTTATGACAAACACTTCTATTTGAATGGCAATTATGTCAAAAACTAATGTAATGCAGTAGTTTTCTAATATATATAATAAAAGTTCTGTATCTGCGAGTGTCTGTCATTGATAATCAAACGGATTATTTCCGAATTGCTCTCGTATTTATATTTATGAAATGTTTATACACTGATTTTAGCTTGTTAGCTGCAATATTTTTTGTGTTGCTTTCAGTGGCATTTTAGCAATTACTGTGATACAATAAAACTAGAGTTATAGCTTTAGCTATTTAAATGGGAAGTAGAAACAAATTAGTAAAAAAAATTCTTGATTGACTTTGAAATTATATTTCCACTTATGCAAAAGGAATCTTTCTGTAGTGAGACATGCTACTATATGTCTTTATTTTTTTAATGACCATTTTAATGCCTTTTTACAGGGAAGAAACAGAGATAATTGAAGGTGAAGTTGTGGAGATTCAAATAGATCGTCCAGCAACTGGAACTGTGAGTTGATGCCAGAGTAGAACAATAGGGGAACGATGGAGTTGACTTGTTCAGTTGCCCAGTACTGGTTGTACTTACAGAAGTATCTTTGTTAAGGCCACGATCACTGGAGAATGTTGATTGCTCCCTTCCTGTTGCAGGGCGCCAAAGTTGGGAAGCTGACCTTGAAAACTACAGAGATGGAGACGATCTATGATTTGGGCACCAAGATGATAGAGTCACTGACCAAGGAGAAAGTACAAGCTGGGTGAGCTCTGGGCAAATAAGAGGAAAACAGTTGTAAGAGAAAGCAACAGACACATGAAATCAAGAGCTTGTACTAGATAAGCAGTGGCAAAGAAATTTTTTATTTGTCTGGTTTCTGGAGAGTGACTTTGTCAAAATCACTCAGTGAATTCATGGTCAAGTACAGACTTGAATGTCAGTCTTTCTGATCTGATGCTTTTAACTCTTCTATGTCCGGTGTTCCAGCTGTCATTGGGATGAGTTGTCATTGCTATCATTGTGGTTAATGGAGATCATACAATGAGAAGTGTGTATATAATAAAGCAAAAAGGATAGCAGACAGAGAACAGAAAATAAGTTTCTCCTTAAAAAAAAATCTTCATTCTTCTTTCAGTTGTGAGTAGAAAAAAGAAATTAACTGATACTTCTGATGTCATAGGAGACATTGAGTTTCTTAATGAAATGCCTTTCATTCAATGTTGAATAGCAGGGCCAATCCAAAGTTACCTCTGTCTGTTTCTACAGGGATGTCATTACTATAGACAAAGCTACAGGAAAGATTACCAAACTAGGACGTTCCTTCACACGGGCCCGGGATTATGATGCAATGGGCTCTCAGGTATTGTCATGAGGCAGAAGGTAAATTTGGGAGAAGCTATAAAGAGACCCAAGGTTCACTATGGGGAGAGGGGACGCAGGGATTGGTACAGCTTTTACAGGCACTGTAGACTCTGGCCAAGATGTGGAGGGTTAGCTTTGATGGCAGAAGGTCTCTAGTTTAGGCTCTGCTAAAGAATCCTGGGAAGCAGGAATCAGAAAATTCTAGGAGAGTAGATAGTGCTGGATTAGTTAGATGCTATAACAGCTTTACATGTATCCATTTTTCAGATACTTTCTGCCTGAGCTCAGAATTAAAGGGTTGGGCTGGGAAGTGGTAAGTTAGGGAGGATTCAAGTTTAACTACATCTGTCTGATTTAGACAAAGTTTGTGCAATGCCCTGATGGAGAGCTGCAAAAACGCAAGGAAGTCGTGCATACAGTCTCACTACATGAAATTGATGTCATCAATAGCCGTACCCAAGGATTTCTGGCACTTTTTTCTGGTAGGAAGGTGGAGTGGGAGGAAATGGAGATTCTGTATCAAAACTCTGGTGTTTGGTATTTTCAGTCAAGGAAGAAGTTATAGTTATTACACTGGATTCAAGATGCTAAGATACCATAGGACAGTGGTGGCAAACCTATGGCACGCATGCCAGAGGCGGCACTCAGAGCCTTCTCTGTGGACATGGGCACCATCACCCCAGCCCCACCTCCCCCTGTGGCCTTCTCCTCACCAACAGCCCCCCCCCAGAGGAGAGTCACCCACAGGCATGGCCCGCGCAGAGCAGTGCAGCGAAGGACATAGCAGCCGGGCAGCAGGGACAAGACTCCACCCTCATGCCCCATCGCACGTAGATGATGCTGCAGGATGCGGGTGGAGGGTGTGGCCGCCATGGTGCTGCAGGGCCACCTGGGCGATCTGCTGCGGTGGGCCCGTAGGGGCAGTAGGTGGCCCTGTGGGCAGGCGGGATAGGGAACAGGGCGATTTTTGGGCACTCGGTGTCTAAAAGGTTTGCCATCACTGCCATAGGATATATACATATGATATATGATATGATATATGATATGATTTATGTATATACAAGATACATAAAGATGTCTTCTCTAAGTGACTTAATGTAGCTTTTCAGTTTATGCCAGTTAGATCACAAATCCTATTATTTTATGGTGGCTGGAGATTGTAGAAGTTGTAATTCACTATAGCTATATGATTGGCAAAAAATGATCAATAAGTTTAATACAGGATAGCAGTTCCTTTATAATTTTTATGTCCTATAGTCCATCACAAATAATAGCATTCCAATATAATGTAAATTTTGAATGGAACAACCTGGGGGGGGAGTTCCATAGCTTATAATTTTTCTAACTTTAAGCCTGTGGAATTTATAGAATATTTATTGTTATTAATCATGTTTTTGGCAGTTTATGTGCAGATGATACAGGATACATAAAGATTGTGATATTTATGTAATGATAATTAATAGTAAGGGTTCAATAACCCAGATAGATTGTGTATTTTAACAAATATTGAAATTATATCTGATAGTTAGATATATGGGAAATGTAAATATGTGATAACAGAGGGTATAATCTTCATCATTTACTCTTTTTCTTTTATTTATTTACCTAAAAGTATTTTGGATAGTATTTTGAGAAATTGTAATTATTGAACCCTTATTAAGTGAGAAAATATCTACCAAGCCGTAAAACAGAACATGGCTTTTGGGGTGGGGTAGGGTGTAATCTTGCATTTCTAAAAAAATGCTTGTTAACATTATTATATTACCATATTTTCCGGCGTATAGGACAGCTCGGCGTATAAGACGACCCCTGACTTCGGCGCTGAGTTGCATGCCTAGAAAGTCGTCTTATACGCCAGAAACTACCGTAATTTCCGGCGTATAAGACGACCCCCAACTTCGGGGCCGATTTGCTTTAGAAAGTCATCTTATGCGCCAGAAAATACGGTAATAATGTTAATAAATTTTAGTATGAAAAGAAGTAAGAAGCAAAGGGTAAATGATTCTTATATATCAATGATGGCAAATCTTTTAGAGATTGAATGCCGAAACTGCAATCCAAAACCCATTTATGTATCATTGGGTGCCGGGTGGGCATAGTCCATTAGGTGGCTGTGGCCAATTGGGTGGGCGTGGCCCATTGGTGAGCGTGGCTGCAGTGGTAATGGCAGATTGGATGGGACTAAAAAGTTCAATCAATCAATTCCAACTTTGCGAGATCTTTTTTTTTCCTGCGAGAAGTTGAAATTGATTGAACCTTTTTTTTTGCACATGGCGGCGGAGGCCTAAAGCGAAAAGGTTTTATAAAACCCAGCTGGAGGCCTAGGACTGGGGCAATGGCGCGCGTGCCCATAGAGAGGGCTCTGCGTGCCATCTGTGGCACGCGTGCCATAGGTTCGCCACCATGGTTATATATTCTCTCCTTTCTACTCTTTGAATTAAAGTGAGGAATTTTTAGATTCCATCTACATATTGAAATGAAAAGTATGGGTAACATTGACTCATGTTTCCTCTCATTTCTGATCCTACATTTTCAGGTGACACAGGAGAAATAAAGTCAGAGGTGCGGGAGCAGATAAATGCAAAGGTAGCAGAGTGGCGAGAAGAAGGCAAAGCTGAGGTGATCCCTGGGGTGAGTTGTACATTTTAGAATGTAGAGTAAATCTCCAGGCCATCTCCCTCATTTTGTAGTCCTTACCAACCATTTATTCAGCAAGCAAACTTAAGGTGTTGAAAAAATAACTTTACAACTAATTTATGATCATTTATGACCTTTATAGTGTCCCTCAGTCACTTGATCATAATTATAATCAGTGCGCATTGTGCTTGACCTGTTTGGAAGGGGGGATGTTTCCATTAACTTGTAAAGCAGAGAGATTGGACAAAAGGGGAGTTCAAGAGAGTAAGCCATTTGTACACCTTAAAAGCAGTGCAGTTGCACCAACAGCAAGTAAAGAGAAAAGGAAATATTACCTACAGAAATCACTTGCTCCCCACCCACAGAACAGAAATATTGGAGAAGAAAGGATTTCAAGAGAGTAAGCTGTTTACACAATAAGAAAGATAATAAGTCCCTTGAGCAGTCAGAAGGGCAGAGGAATGGTTAGTAGACAAACAAAAGCCAAAGGTGTGAAAATGAATACCCTTTTCTCTTTTTAGCCAGAAAGCACAGTGACGGTCATGTAATTCCCCACTTAGTAATCACTTCATTTAGCAGAGGAGTTGCCAGTCCTACTTAGAATCATTAAGTGAGGATTGTTTGTATTTTATTTCTGACTTAAAAGTTTTGGAAAGATAAACCTTCTCCCATATATTTCCTCCCTATTCTATAGGTTCTCTTCATTGATGAAGTCCATATGCTGGATATTGAGTGTTTCTCCTTTCTTAATCGAGCCCTGGAGAGTGACATGGCACCTGTCCTCATCATGGCCACCAATCGTGGCATCACTCGGTTGGTATCAGGCCGAAAGATTTCACTATGGAGAAATGCATTAAAAATCAGCTTCTATAGCTTATGAGTAAATTTTAGATTAGTATTGATAGTATAATAACTCATTTTAGATTTGGTATTGCTATGGTTTAATTAATATTGACTTGTTTATATTATTCTTTTTGTTTTAATTTGCTTATATTTATCTTAAATGGGAGTTAAAGTATTTTATGGATTTGGTTACTTATATAGTTGGGTAACGTTAATTAGAATTTGATTATTATTTTGTAACCCTGTACTCAGCTCTGGGAAGTGGGGGGGAGGGTTAGGGGTGGATGGGTTTTGGGATATTGCATACTGTATAAAACTTTTCAATAAAAAAAATCAGCTTCTACAGTGAACTCTAGGCAGGAGTCTTGTTCTTCTTTGCCCTGCATAATTGGTAGCCTTTGATAGACTCGTTAGGGCTCTGAAATGATTGTAATGCTTATATGATCATTACTCCCTGTTAATGAGATTAAAATTGAAATGCAATGAGATTTTGTTCTGTGCACTGAAGGAAGACAATGAGATATTGATAGACAAAGATACAGTTGAAAGAAAAATTACACATGTACTCTTTGCCAAGCGGAGAGTTGTTATAAAGTATTAGAGATGCTGGATGTTTTTAGTAAAGTCAGCTAAGATTGCACAGAAACTATTATTCTCAAGTAATGACTTTTAATGGGACAATATTAAACAAAGGTGAATATGGTAACAAATGCTGTAGTTTTATTTATATTCACTCAGAAAGGAAAATCTGTTGTCCAAAGATGATCCCTTAGCATTAGATCTACATGCTATTCTTTCTACTGGCTTATTAATCCTGTGGATCCCCTTGTTAATTTCTTTTCCTTGCAATGCAGAATTCGTGGCACCAACTATCAAAGCCCCCATGGCATTCCTATTGACCTGCTGGATCGTATGCTGATTATTTCAACCTCTCCGTACAGTGATAAGGAGACCAAGCAAATATTGAAAATCCGGTGAGAAGTACATTGTATCAGTTTCTACCCTAAAACAATGCTCCTACATATTTCCTGTATCACAGTTGTCCCTTTCCCAACTACACTCTTACAATTGTATATTTTTCTACTTGCGATGAGGCGTTCTGTATGTTGATTATAGTCAGACTTCTCTTTCAGGTGTGAAGAGGAAGATGTTGAGATGAACGAAGATGCCTATACAGTACTAACCCGCATTGGTTTGGAGACTTCCCTCCGCTATGCCATCCAGCTCATCACAGCAGCCAATTTGGTGTGTCGCAAAAGAAAGGTAAGCTCAGACCTTGGTATGGTGCTTCAATGTCTTCTGGAAGAAGAGCCATATCACAATGGACCATGCTATTGCTCAAGATCTTTAGATGGCCCAGACTATCCTACTGTTCTTCTCAACCCTCTCTGCAGTAAAAAAATTAAAAATGGATCAGGCAGGAACCATGGATAGAGTTATATCACTATTTATGGACAGCTTTAAAATGTCCCCAGTATGTTGATAAGATTGAAAGTTTATTAATAAAAAAGAACTGAGAGACATAAAGCAATGACAATTTGAAAATTTGGAGTGTAATTATAATTTTGAGATCTTGATGGTTATATATTGAGTCCAGAAAATTCTTTCCAGCTTGTTTCTTTTACCCAGAGACTCAGACATGTAGAAGGAAATTGCAAATCCATTTGTATTTGTATTGTTTACTCATTGAACTAAAATCTTCATTTTTTCACATGCTTTTTATATTCCTACAAAACTGAAAATCTTATAGGCTTTGGTTTCAATGTCAAAAGAACCAATGTTGAAAATATTTGTGATATCTTCTTGATTGCAATGGCTCCTGAAGTCAAGATTCCCATAAATTTCTTATTTCCCATGTTGGTTGTTCCCATGTTGGTAGTTGTCTCACACCTCCCAGTACTATGGTGCATTATTGCACTTCACATGAAAACAGTGTTGTTTTGGCAACCCTTGTTCATAACATGTCTTCTTCATAGTCATCATTGGGGAAACTTATTTTTTGAAAGGAACCTTTCTTGGCTGTTTTGTGCAAAATTTCAGATTCTCCTTACTCAACACAAATACTGTACATGACATAAAACTATCCATCATCATTAACCTATGGCAATTATTCCATATCTTCACAATAATTACTATATATTTATTCTGACAGTAAATATACCGAGCAGAACAGTTTTCCTGAGCAGAAGAGATGTCTTACTTTAATAGTGGAGTTAGTGAGGGTCCTTTTCATGGGTTGCTGCCTGTGCACCAGAAATACTCACTCTTTCCTTTCATATCCTTAGGGCACAGAAGTTCAGGTTGATGACATCAAGCGTGTATATTCTCTGTTCCTGGATGAGTCACGCTCCACTCAATACATGAAAGAATATCAAGATGCTTTTATGTTTAATGAACTCAGTGAGTAAAATATGAGTGAAGAATAATGAGAGCTCTCCCAGTCCTAAAACCAGTTTCCTCTATAGCAGCCATTTTCCCTAATGGCAACATTTATACACTGTGCTATAATGCTTGGGTTAAAAAAAGCAACATGCTAAATTATGAACTATCTAAGTACATTTTGGCAATATGTTATATGAACTCAAATCGTTCTGTTGAAGTTAAGACTTAACCATCAAGTATACAAATTAATTGCAAACAATTGAGTTCTCTAAATTAAGCCAGGCCACCAAAGGTTAGGACTCCACATCCCATTGTTTGTTCTTTTATAGTAACATGAATGATTTGAGCATGTACCAAGCTTTTCCCATAGCAAAAGACCACGTTATGGTTTGACTCCAGAAAGTGTGAAAGCTGTTAAACAGAATATGAAATGGGAATGTAGAACAAGATGATCCAAGGTGCAGGCTGACAAGTATGGGCCACTTTTGATGCTAGTGCCCTTTATTTGGTCTCCTGTTTATCCCCCAAATCAACTTAGTAATGTTTCTCCATCTTGAAGATGTTTTGTTTTTATTTTTCAGGAGGGGAGACCATGGATACATCATGATAAGGTTTAAATACCCAGATCAGACAGAGTGTGAATTGATATTCCTTTTCTGGTTATTAGTTTTTTGTAAAAATAAAACTGGATTTCCTGAATTTCTGCTTGTTTCAAATTGGAAAGGCAACAAAAATCAGTTTTTATTATTTCAATAATTGTTTCCTGTGTGTCTTTACTGTACTGTAATGGAAATCCATTACAGCATTGCTTATTGCTCTGTAAATATGGTTCTTTTCTCAAACAGATCAGTTAAATTCTGCAAGCTTTTTTTCTGTGACACAACATTCAGACTCTTATAAAAGGATTATATATAATATTTTTATATATTAAACTTGTCTCTTTCTTCCCCCCCCCCCCAACCCATAAAATAGCCCATAATGTTGAGTGGAGAGGCTTATAAGAAAAGACAAAAGCAGTTTGACTTTCAAAACTTTATTTCAGATACCTTCTGGAAAAAAGTCATTATAGGAATGCCTCTGCCCCTTTTAGAATTTCAGGCCAATTACAAAGTTTGACCGCAGAGAGAACTTAGGCACTCCATACATGTGCCTTCTCTGGCAAAGGCAGGACAACAAAACAACCGTGTCCAATATCATGTTGCTGGTTTGATGTCAACCTTCTGAAAACTGCCGGTAAAGTGATTCTAATTTGGAGTCTGTAAACTGAGGCACAAAATTAATCTTGAGAATTTCAGAGAAACCCTCCTCAAGGGATGGCTCCACATACTTGCTCCTGTTAAAAAAAAATAATAATCATTAAGTAGTCCCCAGGGTTGGGAACATTTCTTCTTCTTGTGCCATATCCGTTAACAGATGTTGGCGATCCTGTTTTTATCAGCAGCCGCACAAAAAAGTGCTGCTGAGTTTTGTCCAAACCAGTCCCTTAGATTTTGAAGCCATTTACAGAGTTTTATTTAGCCATGCTATTGGATTTTTTGCAAGGATGGAAAGTGCCTAAGAAAGCAAAAAGTCAATAGTGACAACCCATGACCTATTAGGCCATTCTTCTTTCTAGATGTAATATAGGTTTGCCCTATTTTATATTTCTCCTCCCTTCATGAAAGGTCCAGTGGCATCTATCCCTGCAGGTCAGAGGTGGAACAAAGGGAGCCACTGACTGCAACACACATTTCAGTGTGTTTCAAAGGGCCCTCTCCTTCCAGAGAGAAAGGCTTACCTATCAACTGCTAGTGCAAGGCAAACCCTCCCCCCTCCTCGTGAACCCTCTCTCCAACAAACACCGAAGTTGCTTCCTTGTCCTTCCTCGCCAGCCCTCACCATTAGAGAGAATTTACTTCTGGCCTCAGTGCAAAGCAGCCAATGGCTGATTGGACATAGGGACCAGAGGGAAGCAAGAAAAAGGGTGGGGGGTATGTCCCTCCCATCTCTCCTTGCACCACGCAACCTGTGTATTCTTGGGAAGTATAATTGGAAGGCATGGCACTGAAGAGACTCCCAACTTCCCCAAATTTCATTATCACGGGGTTCATGGATTCTGGCATCCTATATGTTGGCCCATTAGAATTAATTTAGTTCAGTGTTTCTCAACCTTGACAATTTTAAGGCATGTGGACTTCAACTCCCAGAATTCCACAGCCAGCAATGCTGGCTGTGGAATTCTGGGAGTTGAAGTCCACATGCCTTAAAATTGTCAAGGTTGAGAAACACTGATTTAGTTGAATAATTGTTGCCCTATACTTTCCAGCTTCATCCAATTGAAGCTTACAGATATGAGAGTTTTATTTCTTTATAGATAAGTAAAGAAAAGAAAGTTTTATTCTCAGTTAACTCCTTGATTGTTGTTGGAGGGTAATATGCTGACTGTAAACCGCTTAGAGCTGTAAAGTGCTATGAAGCGGTATATAAGTGCTATTGCTATTATATTTGGCAGGGAAAGCCTGTTTGTAACTTAACATCTCGAGAACTGCTAATTAGCTTTTTGAATTCAGCTTTTGGAAAGAACAGCTACTTCTAACTCCCCAACAAAGATAGCTTAGCACTCTGAGAATAAATGCCCAGGAAGGAATAGTTTTCCATTCCTGTTCTCCCTCTTTTCAGAAACTTACTTATAGGTATTCAATACAATGTTATTCACAGGCACATGTTCTTTTTCTGTCATCTCTCGGAACTGAAAAAGAAAAAGCAGAGCATTCTAGTCAGCAGAATATAGTGATGGGAAAAACAAATTGGATAGTATTTAAGTTTCAAAACAAATACAGTACAGGGAGTCTTTGACTTATGACCACAAATAAGTTCAAATTTTGTGTTACTAAATGAGAAAGTTATTAAGTAAATTTTGCCCCACTTTACAATCTTTCTTGCCACAGTTGTTAAGTAAGTCACTGCAGTTAAGTTAGTAACACAGTTGTTAAGTGAATCTGGCTTCCCCATTGACTTTGCTTGTCAGAAGATTGCAAAACATGAACATATGACCCCAGGATACTTGCAACACTCATAAACCAGTTGCCAGGCATCCAAATTCTGATCACATGACCATGGGGATGTTGCAATGATCTGAAATGTGAAAAACTCATAAGTCACTTTTTTCAGTAACGTAACTTCAAACAGTTACTAAGGCTACCTGTAGTCCTCAACTTCCAATTGCAATTGGTACTGGAATCTTCATTGCTAAGGGAGGCACTTGAAAAGTGCCACCACATTGTTTAGTGATGGCAAAACCAGTTGCCACCATTAACCGAGACAACTTCCTGCCTGACTTTTCATAACCAGAAGCTGTGAATGCTTCAACACTGGAAGTTTTTAAGAGACTGGACAATCATTTGTCTGAAATGGTACAGGGTTTCCTGCTTGAGCAGGGGGTTGGACTAGAAGACCTCCAAGGTTCCTTCCAACTCATCATCATCATTATAAATTATCCAAGTCATTGGGGAAACTGCAAGTGTTAGGTAGCTCACATGCAGATAGACAGGTAAGTGGTTGCTCTGGGTGGGGAAGGGTGCAGGGGAGATATGCCGGGTCAAGGAGGGAGCAAGGGGGATGTACAAGGGAAGTGAGGTGAGGCTGGGAGAAGGTGTAAGTGAGATGCAGCAAGGGTTAGGGTGTGCAGGAAGTACAGCAAGTGTTTAAGGGCATTGCATGGATTGGGGAGGGTGTGAGAAGCTGTCAAGCTCAGGGTATGCAGGGGTATGCAAATGGCCAGCATTATGGAGTGTAGATGGGCTGAGGGGTTCCGTAGTTAGGGGAGACTTTATGTAATCTGCAACCTTCCCAATTGGCTTCTCCAGACTTTTTGGGGAAGTTAGCAGGGAAATTTGCAAATGACAATCATTATCATCGAGTCCTGAAACTGGTCGTAAATACAAATCAGTTGCCAAGTGCCCAAAATCATATGATCGCAAGGATGCCTAGAATTCTGAGAATCGGTTGTAACCACTATTTGTTCAGCACCATTGTAACTTTGGTCACTGAATGAATATTATAAATGAGAGGTCCTTGGTGCTCTCTGAGCTTATTTTCTTGCAGATATTTCATTTCCTAAACTAGGTAATATCATGAATGCTAGTTTTAATGTTATCTAGTAACCTAGTTAGTGCTAACCTAATGTTACCTAGTTTGGGTAATGAAACGTCTGCAAGAAAACACGAAAGCTCAGAGAGTACCAAGGACTCCTCATGTCAACCCTGAGCTACAAATGTTCTCCTTTATTGGAATATTATAAATCAAGGACTACTTACTCATTTAGAGAGAGACAGTAGAATATCATTTATCTACAGGGAACACCAGGTACTGATTTGGCTAATGGGATAAATAATTTTTAGGAAGGGCTTTGTCAGGTCTTGTAAGATTCCAGAATCAAATCTTTCACCTTCAAAGACAGAATACTTGCACTAGAAAAAACTGTAAGCTACCAACACTACATTCATTTTTAGGCAAAAATGTGACTTATGGCAAAAAAAATTTCTAGGGATGTAAAACTATTCAGATTCAATGTGGAAAAGATGTGTTGGTCTATCTATATCTGTCAGTGGCTCTTGAAGCACCTTCTTCAAACCTAATAGTGGCACACTTCTAATCTACTTACAAACTCACGTATTTTTGGAGATGCCATAATTTATACATAGCTTGCTACTGCTCTGTGTCAATGGTTCTAGAATTTAGATTCCTGGTTGGATTATAAGAGAAAAGGAGGGAATCCTGCAAGTCCTCAAAAGAGGAGTAGAGAAGGGGACTGAATTCAAAGAAATTTGTTTCCCAATTGAAGAAAGTATATCATGGTATAAGGCAGCAATTTTAAAATGGGTGGACTTTTTAAAATTCTGCCTTTATTATTTTAATAATTCAAGATCGTGAACATGCCTAATACTCCTTTCTTTTCCTAGATTCCCTTTAACAGCAACTCTGTGTGGTGAGTTGAACTCAGAGTAACTGGCCTAAAGGAGGATTAGAACTTAGTTTGCTGGTTTCTAGCTTGGTGCCTCAACCACTAGGCTGAGCTGATTCACTGGGAATTGAAGTTCACCTATCTTAAAATTGCTGAGATTGAGAAACAGTGATCCAAAGTACTTACTCTGTTGTTATGCTTGGCTTGTTCCAATGAGGCAGTAAAAAGAAAGCAGCGGCAGGGAACCCTGGCCTTCTTAGCACATTCAGTGTACCTAGATAAGGGAGCAGCATTTTAATTTCTCAACTTGTCCAATTCTTTTCCATCTTTGGGCTTGCAGCTTAAACATCTGCTAAAGGGCGGAACCTTTACCTGCTTCTTGATTCCAGGTCAGGATTGGTATTATCCACTACTACACTCTTTCCTGCTTGCAGTGATGTTTCACACAATGTCACACATTTCTTCCATGAACCAAGTGTGTCCTGAAGGGGAGAAAGGCAGGATATAAAGGAAGCAAGCAATAAAACATGGTGAGAAGAGTTTTAATCTCCCATTGCTTACCTGGTTGATGTATGCATATCCAACTGAAACCAAATGTCTCTTCAAAAAAGTTGATTTGCCAGCTGGAGTGAAGAAAAATAAAGGGGAGAGGGAGTATAAACAGTGGAGTAAAGCAGAGATTTCTAAAAGTCTAGAGAATTCAAAAAACATCGGCAATACATGCCTTAATATGGGCACACATTTCTTTAAAATGGCATCCATGTTCCTTGCAACATTCACAACTGGCAGTCA